CAATTTTTTTTTAATTGCTACAGTGAAATGACTAATAGATTGTATCATAATTTTGATTGTTTTTTTTAATCTAAATAATATGAAGCGATGAGTTGATTATAAATTCTATATTTATACTTATTAATTCATAGTATATATTGGTTTGATTTTTTCTTATTTGACTAGAAAATCTTTCTTTTAAGATTGTCTATTCTTATTCATCATACGAGATAAGAAAGACAAAATGAATGCCACAAGTAAAGTGAAAAGCATAATTTAATCTAAATGGGAATCCAAAGACAAAAGTTGGAATCTAAATCCATTAAATTACATATGATGTTTATGTTTAATAAAATGAATTGAAAAATATAAAATTTGATAAATTTAATAAGAATTGTTAATGTTGATTAAAGATCTAAACGAGAATTTAGTCTTTTTTGTAAAAAGTAAACAATAGATGTAAATGCAAATGTTTTGTCTTAGTTATCCTTTTCATTTTTTACATTTTCTTTTATTTTTCTTTAAGTTACTACTCGCTAGCTATATATGATTTTTATTTTCTAAATTAATTGTGAAAATATAGCCTATTCATCTAAAATTTGAGAAGAGAAAAAAATCAAAGATAAATTAAAATAATATCTTTGATGTATTATAAAATTATAAAAATAATTTAAAATATTAATTATTATTTTTTAAAATAATTAAACTAACAAGTTTTTAAAATGATAGAAAGGGTGATAAAAATTAATAAAAAAACTATATTTAGTATTTTGGAGTTAGGTTTATTAATCACTTACCCATAATATTTAAAAAAATCATAATTTACATTCTATGAAATTTTTAAATAACATGAAGAAACAAAATTACACCGACATATAATATAGATAAAAAATTATCTATTTTAAAGACAATTTTTCTTTCCTCAAATATCATTTTATTCTTGTGACTATTTAAACTCAAATTAAAATCTAGTGTTTATAATTAATTTTTTTCAAATATTCTCATATCAATTTTTTCTCAAATCAAAATCTAGTGTTTGTATTATTATGTTAAAATAATAAAAAACTAGTTTTAAAAACTTTTTTAAAAATAGAATGAAAAATAAAAAAAATGACGTATCATAAGAGAACGTACCCCAAACCAAAAGTGGCAAAACGTTGGGCCTAAAGAATGGGCTCCGATAGTACCAAGAAGTAACACTGCTCGTAAAACTCCCGATCACCTCTCTCTCTCTCTCTCTCTCTCTCTCTCTATATATATATATATATATATATATATATATATTCCCGTTCTTATTCTCCCAAAAAAACCCTAGACCTCTTAACGCTGCGCCTTTCATCTTATCTCCTTTCTTGCCGTTGTCATTACCTTCTTTCCAAAGTACGAACGAATATTTTCTTACATATTCGCAGTATCGTACCTTGGCGATTTCTTTTACTTGCTATCATAGTTGAATTTAATCACCATCTGTTTCTTTTTTTTTTATTTCAGTTTTTAAGCAATGGCAGTCGCTTTCTACGATCTCACCTCAGCTGCTGGCCTCAAGAAACTCGATGACTTTCTCCTTTCCCGCAGCTACATTTCCGGGTATCCTTTTCTTTTTATCTGGGATTTTCTTGTGGTGTATCGGATGGGCTTTGGCACATCCGGTGATTATGTCCACCTTTTTGGTCAAGTAAAAAACAAGCTGTCCATGATGGTATTAAGGAACGAGGTGTAAATTGCGTTCTCAAATTTGTTAAAATTTAATATATTTTTTATATTTTAAATCATTTTGATGATATATTGATATTAAAAATAATTTTTAAAAAATAAAAAAATATTATTGATATGTATTTAGTACAAAAGGTTATTTACAAACTATTCACAACCATTGCGAAACCAGCTCTAAAATCTCTTTTTAGTAAAAGTTTTATTTTTTTTGGTCTTCTCAGGTACCAAGCTTCCAAGGATGATCTGACTGTGTACTCGGCTCTTTCAAGTGCCCCATCAGCTGAACATGTTAACGTGTATCGGTGGTACACTCATATTGATGCTCTCTTGAGGATCTCGTAAGTTTTCGTGGCTTTCTTTATCTTTTGTTTATGTAAATTCAATAGTTTTGATAGTGGGGTATTTAATTTTTTATCTGGGTCTGCTGTAGTGGTGTCGAAGCTGAAGGATGTGGAGTTGTTGTCAAGGGATCTGCTCCCATCACAGAGGAGGCAATTGCCACTCCACCATCTGCTGAGACAAAGGCAAGTGTTGATTTTTCTTGTTAATTGGCGATTGATTTGTCGTTTTTATCAAGTAATTTAGGTGGGAGATTTGATCTCTATTGTTGCTTTGAATTTATTTAAATTTGCTTTGTGAAACCTGTATGTGTTGTTACTTATCGGTGGGATTGGTATGTTGGTTTATAGGCTGCTAATGCTGAGGATGACGATGACGATGATGTGGATCTCTTTGGTGAGGAGACCGAGGAGGAAAAGAAGGCTGCCGAAGAACGCGCAGCCGCTGTTAAGGCAGTCTCGAAGAAGAAAGAGTGTAAGCTTCTTTTCATTCACTGATTGGGAAGGTGGCCAAAGTGGGTTTTTTTGTTTCTTTGTTTAAATGAGGTGTTGATAAGAAATTTCTTGGAATTCTGTCGATAGATTTTATTCATTGGAATAGTTTGACGTGTTTCCTTCATGCTGATTTGGGTTCTCTACTACTGTGTTTGTAAAGTTCCACGAACTTGATTTTCTGTTTTCTTTGTATTCTGTTCTCAGCCGGCAAGTCATCTGTTTTGTTGGATGTGAAGCCATGGGATGATGAGACTGACATGAAGAAGCTTGAGGAAGCAGTTAGAAGTGTTGAGATGGAAGGACTTAATTGGGGAGCATGTAAGTTTTTTGGAGAGCCACTTAATGCTACCTTTTTGTTGAGATTATTAAGGCAGATACAACTCTTCTTTAGGCTTATATTTTTTGAATTGTTCATACATCTCTAGGATATTCATCAATCCCCCATTCTCCATGAATTCTAAGAGAATAGAGAAGAGTTGATTATTTTAAACATAACTGGTGTGCGCCATTATATCCACTTTATCCATAATTAATGTGCACAAGCTGTTCTCCTGGCACCTTTAAGGAAAAATTGATAATTTTTAACGACAGAATAAGATGGTCTGTGCTGCGCCTGTAATTTTCTTCGAAGTTGTGCTTGAGCTCCTTTTTGCCTTTTCTTTTGCTTAGAGTGTTGTATCTTTTTATTGATTCTTCTAAGCCAGCACGCTATTGCCTGGTCTTTTAATTTGTTTTTCTTTTTCCTTTTACTGTAAGGGGGGATATATAGTTTTATTATTCGTCTTGAAAGGAGTACTGTTGATTTTGGCATATTTTTCTGATGCTTACCTTTGGTTTTCTATGGCAGCCAAGCTTGTACCTGTAGGATATGGCATTAAGAAATTGACAATTATGCTAACAATTGTTGATGACTTGGTCTCTGTGGACACTCTCATCGAGGAACGTCTGACAGCTGAACCCATCAATGAGGCTTACCTTTGGTTTTCTATGGCAGCCAAGCTTGTACCTGTAGGATATGGCATTAAGAAATTGACAATTATGCTAACTATTGTTGATGACTTGGTCTCTGTGGACACTCTCATCGAGGAACGTCTGACAGCTGAACCCATCAATGAGTATGTCCAGAGCTGTGACATTGTGGCCTTCAACAAAATCTGTAAGTGTAGCTGATATTTGATGGGTACTACATATCTTTTGCTATAATATGCGACAACATAATGGAGTGCTGATATTTGATGGGTACTACATATATTTTGCTATAATATGCGACAACATAATGGAACCTTCCAGATCCTGTGTATTAGAAAGTGTGTTGACCCATGCTTACATGCTGTTTATTCTTTTTATTGCAGAATCGAAGGATCACGGTGATAATGGGCGCAGGAGAGGTTTCTAGTAGTGTGAAGGAGTTATAAATTTTATTTCGTTCTTAACGGAGCAATAATATTATGTTTCCTATTCCCATTTTTGTTGCTCAAAACTGAGTTTACTGTAGTCCTTTCCCATTCGTTTGCGGTCCTAGTAAAATGAGTGTCAACTTCTTGGTTTTTTGGATGTTAATCATTTTCTCGTTTGCTGTGAAAATGGTTTTTTTCATTTTCAGTTAACCAGGACAGCCTTTACAATGTTTGCTTGGTTCAAGCGATTGATGTCCCAACGTCGTATCATTCTGTTGAGATTTGAGAGTGTAGTTAAATGGGACGACAGTTAAAAGTTGATGACAGTGAGCAGGTTCTTACAAAAGTACTTGCGAAACTGAGCCTAAAAACTTCGAAAAATTGAAAAAGCAATATGAGAAACTTGTAATTTCTCCAGGCACAGATTTGCGCGGTTTGTGCTTCTTCTGACAAGCAAATTTGCGGAATTTCGAATCTGCTCTTTGTTGAGAATCCTTGACTGCCTGGACCCCGTTTCATGCAATATACCTCTAAAATCATATTAAATTTTTTTTCTCCGTTGTTGCAAAAATGTTTGAAGGTTGAAATCGTCTTGTTTTCCTAAATTTTGACGGTATATTCCAAGGCAACAAAAACAATATTCATGTTTTACAGTGCCAAAGCTAAAAATGATACGGGATTTTGTGCCCGCAAAAGCACGAACACAGCCATAACTAAAGCCAAGCGCTAGACAAGCCATGCCAAACTCCGAGAACTGTATGCCAAGATTTGGGACAATTTTGTAGCAGGTCTTAGACGGGTTCTTGGAGATAGCAAGTCAATCTCATTCTGGTATGATATAGGTCCTCATGCTCAGTATGCTACTTGCAGTTTAGATGGTCTTGATAGGTAATTTAAAGGTAGCTGATTTGGTTGATGATCAATGGGGATTGGAAATGGAGTGAATTAAAAGAGAGTAATTGGCTGACAGTGTTGCTCAATGCATTGCCATGATTTGGCCTCCTTGTTCATTAAACGGTTAAGACAAAGTCAAATGTAGCATATGGGAAAGGAGGTAAAGATTTTATATTTCAGATGCCACAATATTCTTTGAGTGCAATGGACAAGACTATCCTTTAGTTTATATCAAGCTTTCTTCAGAATACGCAGATAAATTTGTTTTGTTTTCTCCTTTTGTTACAAAGTCGTCTTGTAATTTGATATAAAAAGAGGACACCGTGTTGGAGCCTTAAAGGTAAAGGTTCTTCTTTCTTTCCGTCTTTTGCTTCTCTCTGCGCTTTGAATTTGATTACTGTAGGGAGGATTTCTGGTTGTCCTCGACCTAGACCTAGGTTTGGAGTAAGAGAGAGAAAGAGAGATGCCGAAGAGAACAACGCACACGTACTCAAGCGAGAACGCAGTTCCCGACGGACCAGACTCTGAACTCTTCGTCTACTACTGCAAGCATTGTGGCTCTCACCTCCTCATTACTGGTTCCTCCCTCTCTCCCAATCACTTTATTTTATTGTTATTAGCCTTCAAATTTCCATGTTGTTAAAGTCATGAATAATATCTGGTTGATTTATTATTAATTTTAAATACCGAAATCTGTTTGTTTGTTTGTTTGTTATAAGATACCCAATTGCAGAAAATGCCGAAGAGGAAGACTGATAGAGCTTATGTATTGGACAAGAAGAAACAACTTGCAAGGCTCCATATGAATGAGGCTGGAAAAGTTCTCCTGAAAAGGTTTCATTTTTACTTTCATCTTTAATTGTTTCATTCATTGCTTTCTGCTTCTTAACTTTTTTTGTTCTTGTTGTTTTTATGGTATTTCATTTTCTTAAGGGTGCAAAGAAACATGCTGCTGGATTTATTCTACTTATATAGTAGTACCAACTGACTCTGTCAATCGTTCATTTTTATGTTGTTTGTCCATTACAACTTCATGGGTCTCGGTGTTCCATCTAGTTGGTATCATGTGGTGATGGTATACTCATTGTAGGTGAATGAATGCTTCGACAGGAGGGTTTTGTATAGAAAAATATCGAGTTTGGAAGGTTGTTTTCAGGTAGTTGTTGTTTGGCTGCTGTCAGCGAGTAAAACTGAAGGGAATCTGATATTGACTTCTCTGTTATTGAAGTGATTCTTTGAGGTTGAAATGGAAAAAACTTTCTATGCAAGGGCTACTTGGCCATTCTATTTTTTTTGGTGGGAATTTTATTGCAAGGCGCCTCAGACCTTGTTTCTTGGCAGATATTCATATGCTTTCCTGATATGGTTTCCTCGGAGGAATTCACAAGTGCTCTTCCAGGAGTCATGACCTATTTTTTCTAACCATCATGCCTATTCTAGGCTGTGCTGTATATTTGAAGTAAGAAATGGTAGATAATCTTTAAAGCTAACTATCAAGATTGAAGATGTTGACTTGTCTATTTCTTCACTGGCATCGATCCATTATATGATTTGTTTCATGTCATATGTTGAACTGCTAAGGTAGTATATGTTTGCAAGTGTTCTTCTTTAAGTTATTGAGTGTACATGTTATTTCTTGAGGTTTCAGTGATAGATAGATTCTAATTGCATTAGAGCTCATTACGATTCTGGATCATTCATGTCTAGAGGTGAAGGAAAATTTGAGAAGCAATTTCGCATGAACTGCATGGGCTGTGGGCTGTTTGTTTGCTATCGAGCTGAAGAAGATCTGGAATCTGCTTCTTTTATATATGTTGTTGATGGTGCCCTTAGCACAGTTGCTGCCGAAACTAATCCTCAGGTACAAATAACTGTTGTTAAGAGTTAAGACTTGCAGTAATCAAACATCCAAAGCTTTTGCTTAATGAATTATGATATTTTATTCAATGTTCATTGATCATATAATTTCCTGCCTTTCATGTTTATGCATAAAAATGATAATGAACGTGTGCCTTGGAAATTTCCTCATGTGGTCTTCTGGCATATGCTGTAGGATGCTCCTGTGCCCCCTTGCATATCACAATTAGGAGGACTTGTGCAGGTGGCCATTGAGGTTGAAGACCGTGCACAAAGATCAGCAATAACAAGTAATGTGATTTTAACCTAATGTTTTGATCTGCATATCTTTGATACTATTTGGATTGCATCTCTTTCTTGGCTCCAATTAAAATGGACATGACCTCCATTCTGTCACTGTTTAAACAATTATCAAATGAAGTGGTGTTAATTAATTAACATTTGCTGATATGTCCGTAGCCTGTTGGCTCATGTGTCTACCTGCTTTACAGGTTGGATGCAGTTGAACTAAATTCGGCATCCAATCCATATACCCCATGGATGTTGAGTTCTGTCCATGCATAAAGTGGCACATATTATGTCTTCATTTTTGACAAACTCAAGGAAATGTGCATATGCAAATAGTATAAATGGATGTATCTCTTTGTTGAAGGGGAAGAGAGAGAAACAGGAATGGAGAGAGTTGAGTGCTCAACCTTAATGAATATTGAGTGAAAAGGCCCCTGTTATTGTACTGGTGAAAAAATTGGCGTGACCTATATGGAGTTCTGAGCTGACAGTAGAATTGATAGTATCTTCCTAGCATATTACATCCCTTTAGTTATAATTACATCCTGGATCAATAAGAAGTGATTAAAAGTATCTTCCTAGCACATTACATTTACATCCTGGATCAATAAGAAGTGATTATATGAAGTGTGGTGGATATAACAAGCGTGGGGATGCATTTTGTTAAAGTCTTCTCCAGTTAAACAAGTGTATCCTCTGTTGTCATCCTGCATCTGTGCACACCCTCCCCGCTCGGTTTGTGCTCCTTACATCACTTGTAATCCGACCTCATGTCCATAATCTTTTGTTTGAATTGAGGAAATTCCGGAGAGGCACAAACCACCCATGTCATAACTACATGGAGCGATATGCATGAATGCATATGAAATGTAGCATACAAAAGCACAAATACTACAGACACATTTATATTCAACTTGTAGTTGCATGAAAAAGATGCAGAAGTTTCAGAATGGTGAAGGAAAAGAACATCATAATTGTCTTATCTAATGCTTTTTGTTGCATGTTCATGTATTGTTTTTATAACTCATGAGCATTATATTTAATATTTTTCTTTTCAGGAGTGAATGCTGATGATGTTCGAGTTACTGTAGCTGCACCTGCTGCCCGTGGTGAAGCTAACAACGAACTTTTGGAATTTGTGGGCAAGGTATGCTCTTCTATTATAACCCTACCCTTAAAGTGTTATGCTAGTAAAATTAGGCATAGAATCTTGCATCATTAATTTGGCATGCCAAGGTTAACATGATCCTCCCTCGCACAGGTGTTAGGTCTGAAACTGAGCCAGATGACTCTTCAAAGAGGATGGAATAACAAATCAAAGCTGCTTGTTGTAAGTAAATTGAAAGTTCTGTTCTTCATCAGCCTAGGTTTGCCTGCGGGTGCATGCGTGCTTGCATCTTCTGTAAATGTGTAAAATCCAAGAAGATGGAAGTGTTGTTTGAGATCCATTTAAATACTTCCACCTACTCGCTTATCTGTTGGAGATCAGCTTGTTATGTGGAACATAATTTCTCTGATACTGCGTAGACCATCATTTCGCTGCTTTAGTTCGTTTTTTTATAGATTTCAAGCATATATGAAATAGAACTAGTAATACCAAGTTTGATATAATTGATAAAAATGTGGAAATTTTTGTGTTCAAATGAACTGATTACTGTATAAAACTTCTTAGTTGGTTGCCTTTGATGACCATTCAATCCAGTCTAGACCAAATTAATCTGTTGTTTCTAGGAACGTTGCCAGTGTGAACAAGACAAGAATTGTAGGCATTGTATTTGGCAACTACCTTAATTTTTCTCCAAATTGTCAATAATGGACATTTGGAGAAAGCATTTACGTATCCATGATTCTGCTACTCGAAGCTTGTTTCCAGTTTCATCAACTTTCTTTTCTTTTTTCAGGTAGAGGATCTGTCTGCTAGACAGGTGTACGAGAAACTACTGGAAGCAGCACAACCTTGAAGCTGCTGTATTTTTAATACATCATACATTCGAATTGTTTCAGCAGTTTCTTTTTGTCTGGTTAATTTGTAATGATGTTTTTACTTCTCTACCTAAAAAACTTAAAACAGATTTATAAGAACATTAAATTCTTTTCACATGAATTATTTATCGTTCCAAATAGAGTTAAGATAAATATGTTTTTTTTCATCTTGATTTCGTAGTAAAAAGATCCACATACCATTGGAAAGGAAAAAAAAAAATCTAACGTCAAGGGAATTTTTTATATTTTAACAATGGTTTTTTTACTGTTATAATTTAAGGTTAGAGACACTTTGATATGTACACAGATATAATAATAAATAATGAAATATACAGTGAAACTATATCAATACCTTTATAAAATTAAACTTGGGGTCAGGGTAATTACAAAGTCAGCTAAAAAACAATTTTACATTTGGCTAAAAATAAAAAAAAGTAGGCGTGTATGGGAGGGTACGTGCCTGTTTTTTGAAATTTAAAAATATTATTTTATTATATCATTAAAAGTCTCTGATTATGTCGTAAGGTTGTCAATTCTGTTTCAGTTTAAGTAATTTTAAATAGTTAAGATTAAATAGATTTTTAATTTAAAGTAATTCAACTTAAATAAAATATTAAAATATTATGAAAGTAAAATGTTTTAACATAAATATTTTAAATATAAAGTTAAGTCAATGTTACTAAGGTTAATGACATCCAAAGTATCCTTTGTTTTGCTCAAATTCCTACAAAGTATAAACATGAAAAAAATAACATAAATATAAACTATATATATTAGTGATACATCTAATTTTAAAAAATTAATATCATTGTTATTGAAAATAGTAATGAAAATGAGTTTTTTATACTTGGGTGGTTTAATTAATTAAACTGAACTTGACTTTTTAAAAGCGGAACAGAATATGTGGAATGAAACCGGAACGTTCCAGATGGAATTTAGTCAAAAAATCCAGAACGAACCGAGATTTAAAATGAGATGAAAGTTGTTCCGTTTTGTTCCGTTTTTTTAATTTGTATGGAATGTTTCAACCATTTCGGGTAAAATGGACGGAATTGACAACCTTTTTATGGTCTTATTTGGTTATAGCAAAACTTTTTTTTCCTTCTCTCTCTCCTCCTTAAATATTATAGTTTAACCCTCTTAGTTGTTAACATTTCAACTTCAATTTTTATTATTTTAATTTTTGATATTGATATTGATATTTTTTTTAAAAAATTATTTATTTTTAATTTCATCATTCAATCTCATTTTATCAAATATTATATGTTTCAAAGTAGTTTTTATTCTTTGGATTTATAATTTTATCCTTGATCATTTTATAAATTTTTTTCGTGTTTTTCAATTTTATTATTCAATTCAATTGATAATATTATATTTTTCATTTTGATTTTCATTACTTTGAATTCTATTTTTTTTCTCGACTTTGTTGTAAAAAATATTATTATTTTTAATTTCACCATTTAATTTCAATATTTTTTTTCATGTCAATTTTTATCCTCATTCTTTTATTTCTCTTTGTTTTTTTTTACTAAATTATTTTTCTTTTCAATTTCACCTTTCAATTAAATATAAAATTTATTTTGTATTTTTATTTTGATATTTATTCTTTTAATTGCTTATTTTAAAATCCTTTTGTTTAATTTTTTTTAATTTTATTATTTTATATTTGGTTAATTAAAAATTAAACTTCATAATTTTATTATATTAGGTGTTTTGGATCTAATAATAAAGGTCATGAGTTTAAAAAGTTATCACGAGTTTTATTTTTTATTAAGTTATTCAAATATCATAATTTGGGTCACGGGTTAGGTGAGATATTTTGAGTTAGATCAATCTTGATCACTAAAATTCATAGTTATTAAATCCGACCTGGGGGTTGACCCGGTTAAGGGGCCGGGTTCCGCAACCTGGGGGTTGACCCGGTTAAGGGGCCGAGTTCCGGGTTTCATGGGTCAACCCGGGTTGACCCGGAAAATTAAAAAATAATAATTAATATTTCATATAAAAAAATCTATGTAAATATAAATTATACATATTGTAAACAATAAAATTTAAAAGAATATTTTAAAAAGTTTTTTATCCCACATTGAAAAGATATTATGTTAAACTTTTAAGTTGAAGTATTTAAATAAATTTTTTTTTTATCCTATATTGAAAAAACATAACTTTTTTCTTGAGAACATATAGTATTTATACTAATAGGTTTCAAATTTCATATTGAAAAAACATGATTTTTTTTCATGGGAGCATAGAGTATATATACGAAAGGGTTTCAAATCCCACATTGACAAGATACTATGTTATTTTTTAAAATTGAAGTATTTAAACCAAAAGGTTTTTTATCCCACGTTAACAAAACATGTTATTTTTTTTGGAAACATGGAGTATATATACTAATGGGTTTCAAATCCCACATTGAAAAAATATTATTTTTTTCATAGGAGCATAGAGTATGTTTATGAAAGGGTTTCAAATCCCACATTGAAAAGATATCATGTTATCTTTTTAAGTTCAAATATTTAAACCAAAAGGTTTTTTTATCTCACATTGAAAAAACTTGATTTTTTTCTTAAGAATATAGAGTATATATACGAAAGGGTTTTAAATCCCACATTGAAAAGATACTATGTTATTATTTTAAGTTGAAGTATTTAGACCAAAATTTTTTTTATCCCACATTGAAAAAACATGATTTTTTTTTTTTGGAAACATGAAGTATATATATTAATGGATTTCAAATATTATATTTGAAAAAAAAAACTGGGTCTCGTCTGGGTTCGCCCGGGTCATGCGTTAACCCGCCGGGCCACCTGGATTTGAC